TTACCCGTAAAAATAACAACCGATCGGTTCATATTATTATGAGATTTTCTAGAAAGCAGTGGATATAGTTGACCGAACCATCACTTTGAGATGTGTTTGACCATACGGTCTATATGATACACTTTGTTTTCAAAAACACATATTTATTGGTCTTGTTCGTGTTTGTAATATAGGTGGTGGAAAAGAAAAAACTTCAGTCCATTTATTGTGTCTGTGTATGTGAATGAGGTGTAAGGTGTGATTATAGATAATTTTACATATGGCGGAGACAAAATTTTTTTACATTGTTACATTATATGCACTTTAATGTTGTTTCACAAACTTCTGATACTGATTGGCGTAGGATGACAAAAAAATTCGCGCTCGCGAATATCCGTAGATAAAATCCGCAACGGATAGTTGGTACTCGTGGATATTTACTACCTGCAGGTTGCGGGTTTTTTAATACCCGCTTATAAACGGGTCGGGTGCGGATATTACTATCCGTACCCGCAGATATTATACTATCCGTACCCGCGGATATCCGCTACCCGCAAAAAATAAAAATAAAAATTTAATTTTTATTTTATTAAGTTAAATTTAATTAACATTAATTTATATTTTATAAGATTAAATATAATTAAATTAAATTTTAATTTATATTTAAGTTAATATATATTATATTTTTTTAATTTTATTTAAGTTTTATTATAATATTTTATAAAAATATATTTTTTTTAAATATTTGCAGGTATCTACAGGTTTAAAAATATTCGCAGATATCCGTGCAGATAGTGGATCGAGCGGATAAAATTCTCTTTTTTTGTCTGATCGAATTGCGGATAAATACTATTCGTGTCCGACCTGACAAGTTCTCATTCCTAATTTGGTGGTTGTTGATGAACCTAACAATTAAAGAATGCAAGGGTGTTTGAGGATTGGACAACTTGGTACGTTATAAATCAAATAGCTCCACGGTTGTTATTTCTTAATTGATTTTATTGAGGAATCTTCACGAGATATTTTGGGATATCAAGATAGATGTGTAAAATTTCCATAGATGCCTATTACATAAAATATACTTAAAAAACATATTTATACTATAATTTACATATATATAAAAAAAAAAAACTGGGGAGTCAAAGCTCCTTATAAACTTTTTACGGTAACAAAGTCAAACATTACAAAATTAATTTATAATTCAAATTATTATAAAATTTTGATACAATAGTTCTCATTATTCATCTAATGAGATCATGGTTAAAATAACTTTTTGTAATGTAATGGATCATCCTGTTAATAAGTCAGTTTGGGTTCATTTATTTAATTTGATATTCTTTACCAGTTTTTGTTTTTTTTTTCATTATTACAGTGGATAGAAAAAAAGAGTTTTTATCAAGTAAATATATACTTCAATTTTTTTGTATAAAAACTTTGGCTAATTTCTTTACAGAAAAATATATTTTTTTCGTCGTTGGATTCATACTTATAGTTGATTTTAAAAGCTTGGATGTATGCATATGGGTTAAACTATTTTCAAAGATGATTTTACCCAAAGTGAATGTGAAGAATACCTTTTTGAAATTTTGGATTGATAGGTTTTTTTTGGAAGGATTGTTAAAAATATACAATATTAATGAGATATGAGTTCAATTCACATTTAAGGTCTTTTTAAGTAAAAACTTTAAAACAATAAATTTGTACATCTTCATTTTTATATGAAGCTCAAATTTCTCATTTTTACTTTCAGACTTAAAATTATGATTTTTTTTTTAAATATTCGTGAGTATCCGTTGATATTTGCACGTTTCTTAAAATCTATGGGTAATTGATGGGTAACAAGAATGATAATGAGTGAATTTGTGTTGCAGTTTGGTAACATATAAGCACTATTAATGTTCGACATGATCCATTGTCCTACCTATCTCCACTAGAGGTATGACAAATTTATAGTATAAAACCGTACCTTTCAAATTGATTTTATAGGATTGACTTATGTTTAAAGTATTATTCTTAACATGATATCAAAGTCACTATTTATCCCAACAAAGTTTGTTGCTTGTTTAGTTTATTCTTATTACCCCTATCAGACCATCACTACTGTTTAGTCTCATGCTAAAAATGTATATGCACTGACATAAATGAAGTGTGTTGGAAGTCCTATATTGTTTAAATATAAAACTAATTTATAACATACAAATGCTTGCAAATTTTACATTACAAACCAATTTTGTAAGGTTAAAGAGACTTTAAATATATTTTTTAACATGTAATACAATATTTTCTATAAATATAATTTCATGTAAAATTTTCATTTAAATTTNCAAGGGTGTTTGAGGATTGGACAACTTGGTACGTTATAAATCAAATAGCTCCACGGTTGTTATTTCTTAATTGATTTTATTGAGGAATCTTCACGAGATATTTTGGGATATCAAGATAGATGTGTAAAATTTCCATAGATGCCTATTACATAAAATATACTTAAAAAACATATTTATACTATAATTTACATATATATAAAAAAAAAAAACTGGGGAGTCAAAGCTCCTTATAAACTTTTTACGGTAACAAAGTCAAACATTACAAAATTAATTTATAATTCAAATTATTATAAAATTTTGATACAATAGTTCTCATTATTCATCTAATGAGATCATGGTTAAAATAACTTTTTGTAATGTAATGGATCATCCTGTTAATAAGTCAGTTTGGGTTCATTTATTTAATTTGATATTCTTTACCAGTTTTTGTTTTTTTTTTCATTATTACAGTGGATAGAAAAAAAGAGTTTTTATCAAGTAAATATATACTTCAATTTTTTTGTATAAAAACTTTGGCTAATTTCTTTACAGAAAAATATATTTTTTTCGTCGTTGGATTCATACTTATAGTTGATTTTAAAAGCTTGGATGTATGCATATGGGTTAAACTATTTTCAAAGATGATTTTACCCAAAGTGAATGTGAAGAATACCTTTTTGAAATTTTGGATTGATAGGTTTTTTTTGGAAGGATTGTTAAAAATATACAATATTAATGAGATATGAGTTCAATTCACATTTAAGGTCTTTTTAAGTAAAAACTTTAAAACAATAAATTTGTACATCTTCATTTTTATATGAAGCTCAAATTTCTCATTTTTACTTTCAGACTTAAAATTATGATTTTTTTTTTAAATATTCGTGAGTATCCGTTGATATTTGCACGTTTCTTAAAATCTATGGGTAATTGATGGGTAACAAGAATGATAATGAGTGAATTTGTGTTGCAGTTTGGTAACATATAAGCACTATTAATGTTCGACATGATCCATTGTCCTACCTATCTCCACTAGAGGTATGACAAATTTATAGTATAAAACCGTACCTTTCAAATTGATTTTATAGGATTGACTTATGTTTAAAGTATTATTCTTAACATGATATCAAAGTCACTATTTATCCCAACAAAGTTTGTTGCTTGTTTAGTTTATTCTTATTACCCCTATCAGACCATCACTACTGTTTAGTCTCATGCTAAAAATGTATATGCACTGACATAAATGAAGTGTGTTGGAAGTCCTATATTGTTTAAATATAAAACTAATTTATAACATACAAATGCTTGCAAATTTTACATTACAAACCAATTTTGTAAGGTTAAAGAGACTTTAAATATATTTTTTAACATGTAATACAATATTTTCTATAAATATAATTTCATGTAAAATTTTCATTTAAATTTAATTACGTTAACCTCCAAATGATATAAAATTAAAAAGAAAAACTTTACTTTCAAATTTTCTTACTTCGTCGATTCATTCTCTTTCAAATTCATAAGTGAAAGTTAACAACCGAATTACATGCATCTTTGAAGTAAAACTTTTATAATTAAAGTTGAATTATTTATAGTTCTTCTATCATTAAAAAACTTCACTTACATCTAATAGTATATACTTACATCTTAACCGGTTAATATAAAGATGTTAAATATGTTTTTAATTTTTAAATTTTCATGTGAAATTAAAATTATTTTTTTACATTGATATATTTTGATCTCAAATTTTAAGAATGAATAAATATACTCCTTTAATATTATTCTTTATGCATGTCTAACATATTTTTAGCATTGGAATTATTTACAAATTTCACAATAAAAAATCAATAAACTAAAGGAAAATCTAAAATACATTTGAAGGAAATAAATATTTGATTAGAATGATTAATTTAGTAGATAATCAATTTTTTTTTATTATATACTCAAACTCTTTTAAAACGTAAATGACAGTATGTAATATTACGCGACGAATTAATGAAATGTTAAAATTCATATGCACTGCATTATAGTATTCTGAATGATAAATTGATTATTTATTCAAAGTTTTTGTAGTCAGAAAACGTTCTAACTAGTCTAAATAATTAAATTACCAAACTATTTATTTTCAGAAAAATTTAAAAGCAAAAAACAAGTAAAAAATACTGTAAAAAAGTACACTCAATCACTGTATATATATATATATATATATATATATATATATATTCGATTCTGTACTACAATCAGTAATAACGTATAATCTGTAACACTTGTGAAGGAATAATACATCACATTTTGTTTAAATTTTTATTTTAAAAGTTATTTTTTAATAAAGTAATCATGTTAACAATTTTCACAGATAATATTATTTTAAAAATATAAAAAGAGAATTTGTTTTTAAGAAAACTACATTTTAGAGAAGCAACAATTCAGGTTACTTCTTAAAAGCTAAATTTTACTTTCCTTTCCCATTTTTACTTTTACACCATCACTTTCTTTTTAAATACAAACAAAAATATCCAATATTTTTGGTAATATGTTATCCAACTCCACCTCTTAAAAATATTAGTAAAGAAAGACATTTTATAATCATTAGTGTGAATAATTAGCAAGTTGTTTATAAAAATAAAATGGTGACGTCGATGAAGCAACAGTAGCCGTTGGATCCGACGTGGTCGTCTCATCCGTCCCCCTCGAAGCGATCGTCAGCACCGAGCAACTACACTCATCAACCAGACAAAGCCAAACAACCAAATAGCCAAAGCACCGAGTTTACTATATATATAATAACGTAGCTATAATATACACGCACCTCTTACCAACTCAACTTCCACTCTCGTCAATCATCACAGACAATGGCTTTCACCAATGTTTTCCTCGCTCCTTCATTCGCCCTACACGGTGGTAGGGTTTCTGATCCGCGTTCCATTCCGCTCCTCTCTCCTCCTTCCGACGTCGTCTTCCGTTCCTCAACCTCCTTCTCTAGGAACGGGTGAGAATTGCTCTTCGCCGCACTTTACTTTTCCTGTTTTTTTCTTTAGTAGTTTTTCAAATCGGAGTGTTTACTGAAGCCAATTATTACGGTGTCTTAATCCACTGCGATTATAGTCACGTGTGGATAGATGAAGACGGAAGTGAACGGATGAGAATAAGAGTGAGAACGAGAAAGAGAATGTGATGTTCCCCAGGGATGGAGTGAAATCTGAAGTGTGATGCTGATTATCATGAAAGAATTGAGTAGGAACTATAAACCGAATATTGATAGCTGACTTTTGCTTTTTAAATTTTGGTTGTTTTTCTATTCATAAAATTAGTCAATGTTCTTAGGAACAAAATTTGACGGGAAAGTGGATTTTAGTGGAACCAGTATTTAGTTGTGAGCTTATACTATTCTTGAGTTCAGTGACTCCAGTGCCCGTGTCTAGATATTTTGGTTGAACCTACTCTTGTTGTGTGTAAATTCAGTGGGAGTGATTCGAGTGAGCAAATGTACGGGTGTATTTGAAGTGTTTGACTAAGAGTCAAAGTTGGATGACTTTGTCATTCATGCTCCAAGTTATTTATCTTTCCCTTTGACCATTGATCTATTATTTTATTGTCCTGATGTTTTGGAAGAATTTTCACGTCAAGTTCTTTCACCCAATTTGTCAATGCCCCCTTCTCAAAATCAAATTCCGCTTTCAATTCATGATAATGCTAAATAGTAAAATAGTAAAAGTTTGGTAGTTCCAAGGCAGTCACCTCAATGCATTGTTGTGATTGAAGCTATCCCTTATTCATTTCATTTGTATATACTGAAAAATTGATGGTAGTATCTTAGTAGTCAAAACTATAAATACTTTTCTTTGATGGAGGTGGAGGCAGTGGCCTTGGTACCTCAAGCCATTACAGTTGGGCATGTATGAAACATATATAATTGTGACAATGCCTATGTTAAGTCAGTGAGATGATACTGTAAACCTTAAAGCCTGTATCAATCAATCCATACAGTAATCTTTCTCTTATTTAAGGGCATTTCTTTTAGTACCAACGTTTAGTTAGGAATGAACCATTTCACTCCTGCTTTGAAAACCCTTATTCTTGAAAGCTTCCATTTAGCATCCATTCCCCATTATGGGTAAACTCTGTTTATTCAGGTTTTGTTATTGTTTTTTGCTTATTGTGCATCCCTTTGTATCCTATATGTGGGTTCATGATCCCATATATGATTTTAAGATCAAGATATGTTTGATGGTGCTATTTTGTTTAGTTAATGAAGGTTGGTTTGGCCACTTTTATTGATAGGGTTTGCATTCTAGTCTATATCCCTAATGGAACTTTAATATTCTAAGCAGTAGTCACCAGGATGTATCTATACCACTTGTCTCTTATTACTGGTTGGCACGTTTTGCAGGAACATTATATTTGCTTCTGCATATCATGTGAATGCAGTTGGTTCCGCTTCACTGGTCAGTGTTGTGTTTCTTGCCCCCATTGCATTCACATATACCATTTGTTTGGCAGTTGAAAAATATGATCAGTAAACATCGATTTTATGTGTGCTCATCTTTGTTATTATCCGTAAATTGTATAATTTTAATCCACAAGGAACTGAATTGCAAAGAATAACATAAAAGTGAGGGACTGCATTAGAAGAGAAAAAGTAGTTTCGGACTCAATAGGGCTATTGTGTCATAACATTATAGTACATAGTGTTTTCTGTTTCCTTCCTGATCTTAGAAAGATATCTTTTTTGCTATCATTTTTGCCTCTTTTTCCATTTTATATGAAATATTTTTCTTTACTAGCAGCCAAATGGAGCTGTGAAATATACGTTGAGGAACCATGACTAAAGTCGGAGAATTTCCTTTCCTTCCCCCTTGCACCTTCTGATATTTTCCTTTGTTACCAAAACCTTTTAACTTTCTGAAATTTGAGTATGATACTTTTAAACAAAAAAAGAAAAAAGAAAAAAAAATCATAGCTTTCTTTTTTAGATTGTTTTGAGCGGTGAGCTATGTCTAATGAAGGTTTTTACTTGAGTCCCTGAGGATCTGCGTGTAGATGATGCAGATCACCTATCTTAATGTCCAAGAGGGATAAATATAAAGTTTAGCTCGGTTTGAAGGACTGCTGCACAGGAATCTAACTTTCTTGTGGGCTTCCAATTATCAATCCTCCAATCAGTTGATCTGTGTCGTTGTAATTTTGTGATGATCATGTTTTCTCAAACTCCTTTTGTTATTGAGAATGTTATATGCAGGTCTCAAGCAATTTCTTTTTTCTTTCTGGGAAATTTCTCTCAAATGTGGATTAATATCTACTGGACTAGATGTCTGTTGCACTACAGTTCAGCTTATTCTTTACATTCGAAACTCCTGTGTATTTTACAAGTGTATTATATTCACCTAGTGTTGGGTGTGTTTGTGCTGGTCTAATATTGTCACTGCTATCATTGATAGATATATTTGCCAAGAGTATAGCCTTTTGTTAACAATTCACTACATAGGCCCTGAGCCCTCTGGTTTTGTATGCTATGCTTATACATACATCTATTTGTGACTTTTTTTATTGGTTAATTCACACTGTGCAGAAATCCAGTGACAATCCCGACAATGTTCCTATGCCAATAGTTCTAATTGACCAAGACTCAGATTCTGAAGCAACAATTGTGCAGCTTAGCTTTGGGGATCGCCTTGGAGCTCTTCTTGACACGGTGATCTGGCTACAGGAAACTAAATTATGCAATTTAAATGTTTTCAATCCAGTTGGATCTCTACAATGGGCTATCCTTAAACTGATATTTTCTTGTTTAAGTGATGCTGTCACTATTTAATTGTTAGACAAGTTTTATCATGTATATGCAGGTCCCAAGTTTTTCTTCGTTTATTTATATTTCTTCATTACATATGTCATTGCCCCTTAGTAAACAAGCCTCATTGGTTTATTTCAAGTTGGTTTTATAAAATTCACCCTAAAGTCACAGAACATTATAGTTTTTAAAGAAAGAAAAGAAAATGGAATCATCATGAGTGTTGAAAGGCTTATTATAATCAATAATTTTTTTGAGATTATATTGGAAAAGATAATATTTTAGGGTTTCAGATCACTGTTTTTTTCTGTCACAAGAGGGCTTCATTTATATAGAACTGTATTAGAATTTTTAGGTCATTTTCTCTCTCAACGTCATTTCATATTTACTGTCAATAATTGATCTTTATTTGTTCATATCAAGGCAGATGAAAGCATTAAAAGATCTGGGACTGGATGTTTCAAAGGGAACTGTCTCTACGGAGGGATTAGTCAAGCAAACGAAATTTTTCATTACACAATCGTAGGTCTCACTTTCTTTTTCTTCCAGTTCTTTACAGTGTTTTCTTTTTATTGAGTAACAATTTCTGCAGTAAATGAACAAAATGAGTGAATTTGTTATTAACTGATAATTGTTCCTTTTCTTTGATAAATTAATACATTATTCAGTCTTTTTCATCTTTAACTGAAATTTCTCTTATCTGTGAGTCATGGTCATGTTCTCTCTAAGGAGACGTGTCTGGGTTCAGGAAAATCATACTTTAACTCAATGGATCACCCTGTGTTCTTGGATGTTAGTTTGGAAGGTGATTTATTTTCCTTTAGTGGTGTTGGAAAGCTTCCTTAGTTGTAGTGTCAACTTTAGCCTGCCTTTGTTGTGGTCTCTATGCGGGCTCCTTAATTACAGTCTTAGTTCTGGCTGAAAGAATTGGGAAGCTTATATGGGATTTTCTTTTGTATGGGGTTGTTACTTAGGAAATTTGTTGTAGAACTTAACAGGAAATCAAGTTTATCTATTTGAAATTTGGTTTCCGAAAACTATTCTTTGGCAGACAAAATGGGTTTTTGGCTTTTCCGTACATGGACCTGTTCTTTATGCCATCAAGTTATCCAAATTAAGTGTGGCTGCATTCAGATGGGAGGGATGTCAGTTCTGTGGTCACTGCTTTGTATGTTAACCCATTGAAATTTATATCTCAAGGTTATGCTTCTTCTGGATCTCTTCATTCCTTGGATTTGGGTGATGATGGTTTAAAGTTTGCGAGAGTCCACCATGAAGGATTTCCCATTTGTAATTTGGTTTCATTCTTCATCTCATTCTGCTACGTTCTGTAATTTTCACTTATTTAGAAATGAGCATGTTAGGGAATTTTCTGAAATACAGTCTTCGATGTTGCTAAATTCAATCAATCTTTCTCAAGAGTCCACATGAGAAAATTTGTTCTCTTGAATGCTTGAGGTGTAAGTTGCTCTTAGTCTCCCACCATCAATAACTTGTAAAAGTTCTATTTTTATTGACCTAACTGTCAAATTATAACCGTATGTTACTGAGATTATTCATATCAAATCTTGCAAACATGAACAACATTAGAAAGGTGATCAAATTATTCTTAGTTTTGTATTTTCTAAAGTATGTTAAGTTAATCTCAATGTACTTGAATGTATGAAAATCATATAGATCTCACTGTTTATTGATTGTCTATTTTGTTATCAATGCTTCATTGAAGCTTTTTAGTCTTTACAGACTTATTTGATGTTCATATTCTCAGAGATACTGGGCGCAAAGTTGAAGATCCTGATATGTTAGAGAGAATTCGACTTACCATCATTAACAATCTGTTAAAATATCATCCTGTAAGTTTGTCTGGTAGATTCTTGCCTATGGGTTTTTTAAATGATTACTTTTACATACGAAAAGCTTGGTTATAACTAACAATTTCTTATAAACACAACTTTTCCTAGTTACTTTTTCCCAATATACCTTTTTTTTGCTCTTAATTTTCAGTTTTTCTTTACTCACAAATATTATATAATTTTTGTAGGAGTCAAGTGAACTACTAGCGATGGGTGAAGTGTTTGGCATAAAGTCTCCGAAGAAGAAGGTGAATTGTACTCTTCCAGCTTTGGTTTCTTGAATAAAATAAATATTACTTATTTAATGAAGACCTCTGCTTTGTTATTATTACTATTTTACCTTTTTGAGGAAGAACGCAACTATTTATTAACTGTTTCCTAATTTATTTGATAGACCAAAGTTTTGTGTGCCTGGGTGAATGTCAAGGCCTCGGAAAAAAAAATACTGACATCATATCTGATTTATTAATGCATCCATGTTGCCATTTCCCAGTAGATGGCTTTGCCAATCTTATGTTAATATTTATTCTATAAATTAAATAGAATGTTGTTGTCGCTTTATGTTCAGGTAGTGGATAGTTATTTTTTCACTTTTTCCTTTTTAATTATCTAGTGTTTTCTATTGTTAATTAAAATTTTTGGGAGCTGCCTCCTGATTTTGACCGGCTAGAGATCAAACATCATTATTCTGAACGCAGACCAATTATACTTATTCCTGTATTTGTGTATCTCTTTCTATTTGAAAAATTGAGTGTCTGCATTGGAAAGCCATTTGGGTTTCTCTTCTGCAATCTTGTCAGAGAGATTACGTGATCACCTCTTTTTTAGACTTCTTGAGATTATTCGTATTAAATGATAAAGATTCATTCTTCACTTCTCAGATTCCATGGCCACTGTGGCTTTCTTTATATAATTTTCCATGTCTAATTATTGCCTGCATTATCACTAGCTGACTAAGTTGGGGCTGCTACATTTATATACTGGAATGTTCAAGTTATATAACATGCCACACTTTTCGTGTTTTTGGTGCATATTATCATGCTGTATATAGATTGGATTACCAAAAGATGATTGGTTCTTTCTATATGGAACAAGGGTTTTGTTAGCTTTTGATGGGATTAAAATAACTTTTATTACTCAAGTCTTTATTAATATCTTGAGTTTTTTTATTAAATGTTTGTAATTTTTTATTAGTTTCTATTCTCATTCCCTAACGAGTGTCCTAGCTACATATTCACAAAACCCTAGATAAAGCTCGGTTCTACCAGATTCTGCTGGTGGCAAGTAAACAATTCAATGAACTGATTTATGGGTCCGATGCATGGTCTCAGTCTTGCTAATTTAAACTTTCTTTTGCTGTTTTATCCAGCGTAATGAGGATATCAAAACTCATATACAGGTTAAGGAAGATGGGCCCAAGAGGAGGTTTGCATCTTATAACGACTGGATGCTGTAGTCTTTGAGCTGTTTATTACTTGCTCGCGCCAAATAATATTAGCATAATAAACAACCCAATATGAAATAGGTGTCTAATTCTTTTTAATTCAATATCTATCAGCTTGCTATGTATAGAGACGGCAGATAAGCCTGGATTGCTTGTTGAAATCATCAGAGTCATTTCAGATGTGAACATTGATGTTGAATCGGCTGAGATTGATACAGAAGTATCTTCCTCTTTGTCTATGTCGCCTTCTGTTTGCCCCATTTACCCTTAAGTAACTTTNATGAACCATTTCACTCCTGCTTTGAAAACCCTTATTCTTGAAAGCTTCCATTTAGCATCCATTCCCCATTATGGGTAAACTCTGTTTATTCAGTTTTTGTTATTGTTTTTTGCTTATTGTGCATCCCTTTGTATCCTATATGTGGGTTCATGATCCCATATATGATTTTAAGATCAAGATATGTTTGATGGTGCTATTTTGTTTAGTTAATGAAGGTTGGTTTGGCCACTTTTATTGATAGGGTTTGCATTCTAGTCTATATCCCTAATGGAACTTTAATATTCTAAGCAGTAGTCACCAGGATGTATCTATACCACTTGTCTCTTATTACTGGTTGGCACGTTTTGCAGGAACATTATATTTGCTTCTGCATATCATGTGAATGCAGTTGGTTCCGCTTCACTGGTCAGTGTTGTGTTTCTTGCCCCCATTGCATTCACATATACCATTTGTTTGGCAGTTGAAAAATATGATCAGTAAACATCGATTTTATGTGTGCTCATCTTTGTTATTATCCGTAAATTGTATAATTTTAATCCACAAGGAACTGAATTGCAAAGAATAACATAAAAGTGAGGGACTGCATTAGAAGAGAAAAAGTAGTTTCGGACTCAATAGGGCTATTGTGTCATAACATTATAGTACATAGTGTTTTCTGTTTCCTTCCTGATCTTAGAAAGATATCTTTTTTGCTATCATTTTTGCCTCTTTTTCCATTTTATATGAAATATTTTTCTTTACTAGCAGCCAAATGGAGCTGTGAAATATACGTTGAGGAACCATGACTAAAGTCGGAGAATTTCCTTTCCTTCCCCCTTGCACCTTCTGATATTTTCCTTTGTTACCAAAACCTTTTAACTTTCTGAAATTTGAGTATGATACTTTTAAACAAAAAAAGAAAAAAGAAAAAAAAATCATAGCTTTCTTTTTTAGATTGTTTTGAGCGGTGAGCTATGTCTAATGAAGGTTTTTACTTGAGTCCCTGAGGATCTGCGTGTAGATGATGCAGATCACCTATCTTAATGTCCAAGAGGGATAAATATAAAGTTTAGCTCGGTTTGAAGGACTGCTGCACAGGAATCTAACTTTCTTGTGGGCTTCCAATTATCAATCCTCCAATCAGTTGATCTGTGTCGTTGTAATTTTGTGATGATCATGTTTTCTCAAACTCCTTTTGTTATTGAGAATGTTATATGCAGGTCTCAAGCAATTTCTTTTTTCTTTCTGGGAAATTTCTCTCAAATGTGGATTAATATCTACTGGACTAGATGTCTGTTGCACTACAGTTCAGCTTATTCTTTACATTCGAAACTCCTGTGTATTTTACAAGTGTATTATATTCACCTAGTGTTGGGTGTGTTTGTGCTGGTCTAATATTGTCACTGCTATCATTGATAGATATATTTGCCAAGAGTATAGCCTTTTGTTAACAATTCACTACATAGGCCCTGAGCCCTCTGGTTTTGTATGCTATGCTTATACATACATCTATTTGTGACTTTTTTTATTGGTTAATTCACACTGTGCAGAAATCCAGTGACAATCCCGACAATGTTCCTATGCCAATAGTTCTAATTGACCAAGACTCAGATTCTGAAGCAACAATTGTGCAGCTTAGCTTTGGGGATCGCCTTGGAGCTCTTCTTGACACGGTGATCTGGCTACAGGAAACTAAATTATGCAATTTAAATGTTTTCAATCCAGTTGGATCTCTACAATGGGCTATCCTTAAACTGATATTTTCTTGTTTAAGTGATGCTGTCACTATTTAATTGTTAGACAAGTTTTATCATGTATATGCAGGTCCCAAGTTTTTCTTCGTTTATTTATATTTCTTCATTACATATGTCATTGCCCCTTAGTAAACAAGCCTCATTGGTTTATTTCAAGTTGGTTTTATAAAATTCACCCTAAAGTCACAGAACATTATAGTTTTTAAAGAAAGAAAAGAAAATGGAATCATCATGAGTGTTGAAAGGCTTATTATAATCAATAATTTTTTTGAGATTATATTGGAAAAGATAATATTTTAGGGTTTCAGATCACTGTTTTTTTCTGTCACAAGAGGGCTTCATTTATATAGAACTGTATTAGAATTTTTAGGTCATTTTCTCTCTCAACGTCATTTCATATTTACTGTCAATAATTGATCTTTATTTGTTCATATCAAGGCAGATGAAAGCATTAAAAGATCTGGGACTGGATGTTTCAAAGGGAACTGTCTCTACGGAGGGATTAGTCAAGCAAACGAAATTTTTCATTACACAATCGTAGGTCTCACTTTCTTTTTCTTCCAGTTCTTTACAGTGTTTTCTTTTTATTGAGTAACAATTTCTGCAGTAAATGAACAAAATGAGTGAATTTGTTATTAACTGATAATTATTCCTTTTCTTTGATAAATTAAAACATTATTCAGTATTTTTCATCTTTAACTGAAATTTCTCTTATCTGTGAGTCATGGTCATGTTCTCTCTAAGGAGACGTGTCTGGGTTCAGGAAAATCATACTTTAACTCAATGGATCACCCTGTGTTCTTGGATGTTAGTTTGGAAGGTGATTTATTTTCCTTTAGTGGTGTTGGAAAGCTTCCTTAGTTGTAGTGTCAACTTTAGCCTGCCTTTGTTGTGGTCTCTATGCGGGCTCCTTAATTACAGTCTTAGTTCTGGCTGAAAGAATTGGGAAGCTTATATGGGATTTTCTTTTGTATGGGGTTGTTACTTAGGAAATTTGTTGTAGAACTTAACAGGAAATCAAGTTTATCTATTTGAAATTTGGTTTCCGAAAACTATTCTTTGGCAGACAAAATGGGTTTTTGGCTTTTCCGTACATGGACCTGTTCTTTATGCCATCAAGTTATCCAAATTAAGTGTGGCTGCATTCAGATGGGAGGGATGTCAGTTCTGTGGTCACTGCTTTGTATGTTAACCCATTGAAATTTATATCTCAAGGTTATGCTTCTTCTGGATCTCTTCATTCCTTGGATTTGGGTGATGATGGTTTAAAGTTTGCGAGAGTCCACCATGAAGGATTTCCCATTTGTAATTTGGTTTCATTCTTCATCTCATTCTGCTACGTTCTGTAATTTTCACTTATTTAGAAATGAGCATGTTAGGGAATTTTCTGAAATACAGTCTTCGATGTTGCTAAATTCAATCAATCTTTCTCAAGAGTCCACATGAGAAAATTTGTTCTCTTGAATGCTTGAGGTGTAAGTTGCTCTTAGTCTCCCACCATCAATAACTTGTAAAAGTTCTATTTTTATTGACCTAACTGTCAAATTATAACCGTATGTTACTGAGATTATTCATATCAAATCTTGCAAACATGAACAACATTAGAAAGGTGATCAAATTATTCTTAGTTTTGTATTTTCTAAAGTATGTTAAGTTAATCTCAATGTACTTGAATGTATGAAAATCATATAGATCTCACTGTTTATTGATTGTCTATTTTGTTATCAATGCTTCATTGAAGCTTTTTAGTCTTTACAGACTTATTTGATGTTCATATTCTCAGAGATACTGGGCGCAAAGTTGAAGATCCTGATATGTTAGAGAGAATTCGACTTACCATCATTAACAATCTGTTAAAATATCATCCTGTAAGTTTGTCTGGTAGATTCTTGCCTATGGGTTTTTTAAATGATTACTTTTACATACGAAAAGCTTGGTTATAACTAACAATTTCTTATAAACACAACTTTTCCTAGTTACTTTTTCCCAATATACCTTTTTTTTGCTCTTAATTTTCAGTTTTTCTTTACTCACAAATATTATATAATTTTTGTAGGAGTCAAGTGAACTACTAGCGATGGGTGAAGTGTTTGGCATAAAGTCTCCGAAGAAGAAGGTGAATTGTACTCTTCCAGCTTTGGTTTCTTGAATAAAATAAATATTACTTATTTAATGAAGACCTCTGCTTTGTTATTATTAATATTTTACCTTTTTGAGGAAGAACGCAACTATTTATTAACTGTTTCCTAATTTATTTGATAGACCAAAGTTTTGTGTGCCTGGGTGAATGTCAAGGCCTCGGAAAAAAAAATACTGACATCATATCTGATTTATTAATGCATCCATGTTGCCATTTCCCAGTAGATGGCTTTGCCAATCTTATGTTAATATTTATTCTATAAATTAAATAGAATGTTGTTGTCGCTTTATGTTCAGGTAGTGGATAGTTATTTTTTCACTTTTTCCTTTTTAATTATCTAGTGTTTTCTATTGTTAATTAAAATTTTTGGGAGCTGCCTCCTGATTTTGACCGGCTAGAGATCAAACATCATTATTCTGAACGCAGACCAATTATACTTATTCCTGTATTTGTGTATCTCTTTCTATTTGAAAAATTGAGTGTCTGCATTGGAAAGCCATTTGGGTTTCTCTTCTGCAATCTTGTCAGAGAGATTACGTGATCACCTCTTTTTTAGACTTCTTGAGATTATTCGTATTAAATGATAAAGATTCATTCTTCACTTCTCAGATTCCATGGCCACTGTGGCTTTCTTTATATAATTTTCCATGTCTAATTATTGCCTGCATTATCACTAGCTGACTAAGTTGGGGCTGCTACATTTATATACTGGAATGTTCAAGTTATATAACATGCCACACTTTTCGTGTTTTTGGTGCATATTATCATGCTGTATATAGATTGGATTACCAAAAGATGATTGGTTCTTTCTATATGGAACAAGGGTTTTGTTAGCTTTTGATGGGATTAAAATAACTTTTATTACTCAAGTCTTTATTAATATCTTGAGTTTTTTTATTAAATGTTTGTAATTTTTTATTAGTTTCTATTCTCATTCCCTAACGAGTGTCCTAGCTACATATTCACAAAACCCTAGATAAAGCTCGGTTCTACCAGATTCTGCTGGTGGCAAGTAAACAATTCAATGAACTGATTTATGGGTCCGATGCATGGTCTCAGTCTTGCTAATTTAAACTTTCTTTTGCTGTTTTATCCAGCGTAATGAGGATATCAAAACTCATATACAGGTTAAGGAAGATGGGCCCAAGAGGAGGTTTGCATCTTATAACGACTGGATGCTGTAGTCTTTGAGCTGTTTATTACTTGCTCGCGCCAAATAATATTAGCATAATAAACAACCCAATATGAAATAGGTGTCTAATTCTTTTTAATTCAATATATATCAGCTTGCTATGTATAGAGACGGCAGATAAGCCTGGATTGCTTGTTGAAATCATCAGAGTCATTTCAGATGTGAACATTGATGTTGAATCGGCTGAGATTGATACAGAAGTATCTTCCTCTTTGTCTATGTCGCCTTCTGTTTGCCCCATTTACCCTTAAGTAACTTTACCGCTCTTTTCTCTCAGGGTTTGGTTGCTAAGGATAAATTTCATGTCAGTTACGGTGGGGCTGCATTGAACAGTTCGATGTCTCAGGTAACCCTTTGTGTTAAAGAAATGAAAACTATTTAAAATCTTGATTTTATACAAGTCGCCTTACCTTTTATCCAACACCATGTCATTCCGCAGAATTTAATTGCACAACAAGTTCATTTTTGTGATTTTGAATGAGCAGGTTTTGGTGAATTGTCTTCGTTACTACCTGCGGACGCCAGACACAGATATTGATAGTTACTGAAGGAACCACCTTTACCTGCTAAGCAAGCCACTATAACTGTTCGCACACCAAATTAGCCGTGACCTCGTGATCACGAGCTAGAGTCATACGGTAGCTTTACTGCTACCACATTATGGAACGGGTACGTGTTGCTCTTGTTGCTTATGGAACCTATGAATGAATACCTGTAACTAATTATGGAACGAATAGATGTTCTGTTGCCTATGGTATGGGATCTATGGATACCTGGAACTTACTGATCACCCCTTAAATCAGATATGAAAGCTAAAAACAATCGGAACATGAATTTTGCCTCATTTGTTTATTGGTTTCTACGATTTTCATAATTTCATTTTGTAGTGAAACACAAGCATTGCATTAGTTTCAATAGAATTTTTTTAAGATCAAAAGGAAGCAGAATTGAAGAATTTAGGGTCCCTTTGAATACTATTTTCAAAAAGAGAATATACTTTTCTGTGTAAAGAGTAAATAACACTTGCAAAAAAGAAATACATCAGAAGTCATAGTTAAACACCATCTTGCAACCAACAATCTTCGCTCTAGATTTGTCATTTAAAAAACAGGTAATTGCAAATGATACAATAGACAAACTTCACAAAAACCTGCGAACATAGAACGAGACCGGGGTTATGATATCTTATGTTTGGTTGAGCTAAGACTTGTGTGCTTTCACTTATCATTGTCTTATAGTTGAGATGTTGTCTCTTTCGTTCTGATGGGCTGCTATGCTGTGCAAGTCGTGGTTTTGTGAATGGAGTTTTCCTAATTAGCGTTAAGTATACTCGGAATAACCGCATTGTCACGAATAATTTATCTCAAAGTAGAGTTTAATTTAAGCAATATATTTGCACTCGAGTTAATTTGTTATCCTACCAGACAAATCTTTAGAGACTACAAGTATTTTTCAACGAAAACAATAAAATTATTAATTTTTACAATAATTATGTTGAAAACGGACCACTTACACCAGTAATGCCTTTGGTTTCACAAAGTGCTCTATTTAAATATGCTCTTGCTTGCTTTTCTTTGGAGATTGGGATTCAACGTCCATGCTATTTTCAACGTTGTCGATAGAGCCCTTATGTTTCACCAATCCATCTTCGTCACGGTAATGTTCCTCCTTTATCAATGAAACATACTCCACCTTTTCACCATATCTTCTAACAATAATCAAGTAGAAAGACATGGCGAAAACGGTGACTACAATCAACAAGAAGCTGAATTGAATGTTCACCAAGGAGATAGCACGATGAAGAGAATCATCGTCACTGCATTTCACCACATATTCATCAGATTCTTCAAGGTGCATGAAACAACCTTTGGCTTGAAATCCTGGTGTCCAAAGCAAGAACCCCATGATCATAAGCCACACACCTTGGAAGACAATGCTCACAGAACGTACAAAGCAGACCAAGAAGCTCTTAGGCCTGCCAATTCCCATGAGGGTTGTAGCCAAAGAAATAAGAATCAAAAGTTGCAACAAGAAGTGGTATTGGCCTTCTGGTCCCATGTGATCTCTAGAGTGAAGGTGGATAAGAAGAAATTGCTGTGTAAAAGCTATGGCTCCCAGCAAATGAGTTAGCTCATTTTGAGCTTTGCTGCATTTTCTATCAAGAACTATGGCAAAGATGGCATACACCAAGAAAGCCATGGCCATGGAAGAGTGTTCAAAGTTGTGGAGATGGGTGGTGGGAATGGTTCCATCAACGTCAAATGGTTGGTGATGAATGGGAGCAATGAAGAGCTCCATGGCAATAAAGATGGTGCAGCTTGCCATGATGAAGTGGAGCTCCAAGTATCTGGATATTGTGGTGGGAAACCATAGGGTTGATGTGTAGGACTTAGAACTAAGGGCATGGAGCTTGACGTGGTTGAAGAAGTGCCATAAACCAACTACAAAGAAGCCAAAACCCAAAAGTTGATGCCCCTCTAGCATAGTGCCTGCTAGGCCAACCCAAGAAAGAAAGAGGAATGAAAATTCCAACACAGTAACTAAAGAAAAAAAAAGGAAATGCAGTATCGAGTTAGTTATGACGAGTAAACAAACACTAACACAAGTGTTTTATGTTCCAAAGGTCACACCAAATTAGAGGATCTTTTATAGTGCTGTTATTTTGGAAGTGGATGAAGTTAGATATGATGAGTAAATGAAGCCAAGTGACACGGCCAGGAACCTCCTTTCACAAGGGAAAAAGTTGGTGTGGTTGGTGCGTGTCTCATAAGGCAAATAAAGGGTTTGGTATTTTACGCCAAGTAAGAAGAGGTTTTGTTTTGGGTTGTTAAGGTGCTTTTCCATTAAGGAAATTTCAGACTAACAGCCACATCCTCTTACAATACCAATTGTACCATTCTCCAACTATCGACAAAACGTAAGTGTTGCATTGGCCGTTAGAGACGTAAATATGGATTTATGATTCAAATTAGTAACATAGAGAGGCTCATTGTTTCGGAATAACTTTTTAATAAATTATTATGCTCTACAGCGGAATTTAATTAATATATATTTTTATAATAGTTACTGCACTCAAGTGTGATTTAGAGTGAAAATATATTTACACAAACTACCAAAATTAAACTCAACAAGATATACGTTGTTAAATAACATCTTTCAAGAGTTTATAAGACAATGACATGACCACTACTTTAATGAAACTTGCGGACTGATCCATCGATTCTTAAAACAACATTTAACAACTTGTTTTACGACACTTTTAAGTAGATTCATATGACACTATTTGCGTGAATGTTTAGTTTATCTTATATATAAGATTATTGTGATAATATCACATGATTTTGCAGTTAAATCAATATGAATTTACATTTTTTAAAAAAAATATTTTCTCTTTTTGAAAAATTAAGCTCGTTTATATGTGACGATGATTATATTTTCACAAATGCGGAGTTTAACACGGCAAGTTACTTCACGTCAGCATGAACAACTTGACTTAAAAGATTTATTCTTCAGATAACTAAATAAGGCTAAACTTTTCCCATTGAATTATTATATTATTTGTACAATCTTACTTGATTGTACCATATGCGTGAGAATAATTGCGAACGAAGAGGCAACATTCATATTTTTATTATTGAGCTTTATTACAATACAAACTAACTAGTTTTTTTTTTCATTAACATATGTGCAGTAGAAGATTATCTGAGTTTCCTTTTAAGATAGAAATTGCAACGTTTTGTAAGAAAGAGCCACCTGGAGAAATTTCTTAGAAATTTCGCTTGTTATAGTTTGTAGTAATGTCCATTCAACTCTTATCTTCTCAATTAACAAAAACACTCTTTGTATGCATTATTTTGGACATCCTATTGAAATACCTTGTCCATATTGAAATTTAAAAACATGTATTTTTTAAAAAGTATTTGAAATTTACGTGGCAATAACTCTTATTTTTGTTGGTGGTAGAAATGAATTCTATCAAACTATTATATTCTAAGTACCATAGTAACTCCTATACATAATTTAAAAACAATCAGTTCAATATTGAGGAAAGCAAAGGGGTGAGATGGTACTGCATTATAATTTCTCTTTGCAAGTTTCTGAATTTAAGTCCTACAAAAATGTTTTGGATGCCAAATTCAAATCCTGAATTGAATAATACATAGATAGCATTCCGAAAGCAACGAAAGTGGTAAGAGACAAACAATAGTCCAACGACGTCTTTGAAAGGACCGAAGAAGGGGAATCTTCGTCCGACTCAAGTTTGAAGAAAAAGGTTATTTGAATTGTGCATTTATGCTACTTTGCGTATTGGATGGGTAAAGTGCTATGTCTTTTACACAAAATCCACATGTAATTATAATTGCCTATTAGAGTTCCAGCAATCTTCCCTGCTTTCTTATAGACATGATTTCGCTCAAACAACAAATGAACATCACAAGGCACAAGTTACATTCTATACTTTGTCTCCATGCCTCTGCCTCTTACACAAAGATCACGATGTTATCAATGCCAAAACAATCTATTTCAAATCAATAGTTACACAATCCTAGAATATACAATACTAGAATATAGACGTAAACAATAGTGGTAAAATTGGTTCAATCTGTACCATATATTCTTTAATATGCCATTTTGAATTTTCATATAAACATGGATAAGAAACACTATCATATATTTGAAGAATAACATTTCTGATAGAATAGTAAAGAACATAAGTTAAGTTGAATATTGTCTACAGATATCTGTCTTCTATTTGAATACCTCCTAGTCTAAGCCTACCAAACTAACTAAAAACTCTGGTAAACAATGTATCATCTGTTCAGGATTTCTTACAAAAAAGAATTATTACCTGCAATATGAAGAATTATCCATTATTCCTGCATATTTAGATAGTAGAGAACTAAGTGGATTCTGTCAAATTAGATAAACATATACTATATATTAATTTATAATAAAAGGAATATGTAAAGGATTTTCTGGATCACGCATCCGAACCGATCCATCATCTACATCTCGGCCCAGTCCTTTTATACTGCATTAGCAATGTTCAGTTGAGAAACCTGAATTAATAATTCTCTAATCGGAAAAGGATTAAAAAATTGGGCCCAGTTCTTTTATACTGCATTAGCAATATTCAGTTGAGAAACCTGAATTAATAATTTTCTAATTGGAAAAGGATTATAAAATTAAATGTTTAAGTATTTAAATCTGAATTACTATATAAATTATAAGATACAAAATTAACAAAAAATAATTAACTCTAAATTTATTATTTTTTGTACTTACCTCTATTGCATTAATTTGATGTTTATCTGTCAATCTCTGAAATCCTATGAGCTCAAATATTGAGGAAATTTCTGATACAATGTCTCTTAACATTCCATTTTCGGCTAAATTAATGTTAGATTATTCACTTCATTGAGACCAAGAGTTGAATTCAAGAATCCATCATACTAACAGAACAATTTAGATGTGAGTTACAAATTTAAGTTAAAATTATAATTGAATATAATTAAAATTTTGTTCATATATAATGTCGCAAGGGAAATGATGATGAAAAAAATAAAACATGATTTGAGTAAGATATATTACATTATTATTATATTATTATTTTGACTTTGTTCAACAACAATAATAATTAATAATAATTTATATTTATATATAATAAAGATTCTTATTTTCCGTGTACATTTGCTTTCTAATTTTTAATTAACCGTTATTTTAAATTAAAATAATTATATTTCAATTTCATCCGGTGGCTATTAATTTAAATTAAATTATTTTTTAAATTAAAATAATTATTTCACTATTTTATTTTTTAAATTATAATTTATTTAAATTCAGTTACTTTTCTAATTAAATTAGCTATCTATAATAAAAAAATTTGAACAAACATGTCCTTCATCAACTAATAATAATTATTTTATTTTATATTAATTTTAACCGTAAGAAAAAATATAACCTTATATTTTAATTTTTATTATATTTTTTTATTTATAACAACCATCAAAATTTTCATAAAATTTATCTCAATATCTTCACTTTTACCTCTGTCTCTTAAAACAAATAACATCACAATCTTCTTTTTATCTCTATAAATATATTGATTCACTTTCCTTCAAATCTATTATAGAGTCTTTGTTTTTCTCAAACTTTTTGGATGAAATTTTCATTTTTTTCCCAGTTTCAGGAATTTATCCCAGCATCGCAACCCTATTATTATTTTCAACTTTCTTTAATATAGCTTTTGCTGGTAAAAAATGTGAAAGACTTTCAAAACCTCATTCAACAAGGGATAACACGCAGTGCCTAGGATGTGAGTGACTTTGGGACCCAGTAAAACACACCAGGACTCTAAATATTGTTTAATTAGCATTGTTACAAAGTGCTTTTCTAGCATTGATGTAAAGATGGAAAAGTCAGCATGTAATTCTAACATATTCTAACAGCAAATTCCATCACAGATAGAATAGATTACAATACCTGCAAACAATTTAGGGCAAAAAATTGCACAATTGATATGTAAGAATCAAAATCACACATGTAAAAGGTGATTGAAAGTACAAGTTAGGAATTTCCAGAACAGCTTAGAGCCATGATTGATTACTAATTAGTCATTATCATAATAAGGAATGATCAACTACAAGTTAGTAATGGTCAATAAGACACGATAACTCTGAAAATATGAATCGTGTAGGATCTACCATTAGTAGAACAAAAGACAGACAAACATAACAACTCAGAAACCCCATCTTAACCTTTAATTTCTTTCCACTCAGCTCCATGACTAAACATTTAACTTAGTAAGTGCATAACGGCATTGAGGACACAAGTGTGATTAAAAATTAACCAATGCCCATGAAAATTTCATATCAACTATAGCAAGTTACATTATACAACAGCAAGCCTGGTATAGGACCAACAAGAATTAAAACCCAGATGACTCAACTAAAGAGGAATATGATGCATTTTCATCAAAGTTTGAAGGCTTCTTACTACCGGTTTTCCTTGATGTGCCATCACTATTATTGCCAAGAGGCCTCACCTCCAGACCAACAATCTCGTACAATTTTAATCTATGTTGTTTAGCTAAATCCACATCACCATCCCAACAAGTCTCAGAAATAATTTCAAGTGCTTTATCAATCTCCTCTTCACCCACAAGATTTCCATTTTCCAAGAGGACAAGGTACAGCTGTTCAGCTGAAGCTTTTCGAATCTGATTATCATACACAAAGAAACATAGTATGAGAAGCCACAAAGCAAGCAACATAACTAACATGACCCACTTATTCAAGATTAATAAAAAAGTAATTACTTTTTCAACTTTCGAGAAACACACTGAAACACTTAATTTAAAAAAAATAAACAATCATCATAATTTTTAAATATATTTAGTTAAATTATTTTATATAAAACAAGTACAAACAAACAATCTCCTAATTGTGAAAAAATAAACTATCTGATTTGCATGGGATTGCAGTTAAGGGAAAACAAGATGCCTAGTCGTGAATCTCATACTGGTGAATATCCAGGAATCACCTTAGGATAGCGATGACCAAGAAAATCAAGAAGTTGAGCAAAGGCCTTCTTATTGATAGGTTCCTGCACTGAAGCTATGTAACCTAGTATTGCAATACCAGCATACAACTTAGAGAAGTCTTTTGATCCCTTCAATTCAATTGACAGACAATCCAAAACAGCAGCACAAAAAGTTGCAGTGTGAGCCTGAAAATGCAAATTATTTATCCACATGTTCTCA